GGTTGGTTTTCCCTGTACCCCCCCCCCCCCCTCCATCCCTGGCTCTCCCCCCACTCAGCCTGCCTACGTTCTTATTGGTTGCTTCCTCTGGTTTATACTCCTTTAAACTCCTCCTCCTTCACTGCTTCTTCTCATTTCACCTGGTTTTATTTTTCTTCTTCTTCTTCTTCTTCTTCTTCACCCTCATGTATCCTACATTCCTCTTCCCTCCTCTTCTGACTTCCACCTCCCTAAACTCTCTTTTACCCCCTCCCGCCCTCACCACAGATTACATCAGCTGCAAACACTGTAGTAAATTATTAAGTACTGTTAACAAATAATTCACAGTTGTGAGACATGAATCATTGATGAGAGCAAACAGTGGCACGACCACAAAACGACCAGGACGCTGTGGGTAAACATGTCAGGACACATCCCTGAGGTTTGTTCTGATGATGATGATGATGATGATGAAGATGACACTCACAGATATCAGGAGCTGGACGATGCAGTGCAGTATTTCTATGTACTGGTACTCCAGCCAGCAGCTGACCACCGTGGTCAGCTCAGGGTTCGGCTGGTCGTGCCACACGGCGGAGGGTGGGCTGTCACTCTGACACCCCGGGCCGTTGTCCTTCCACCATGAGCGATGAGACGACACTCCCAGAGTGAGGACGTCGCTGTCCTGCGGTCACAAAGTTCAAAACACAACGATAAATATTAATAATAATATGTCAAATAAGTCTGTACATTTGATTTAAATGATGTTTGATTTTCTTGTTATTTATATTTAATCTCATATCTTATTGTGACTTTGTACAGAAACACGACTGGTTGACTGTTGTGTGTGTGTGACTGTTGTGTGTGTGTTTGGGTGTGAGACTCTAACAAAGGGACCAACGCTGTGTTTACTGCAGCTCTCTAATTATCTGCCACGTCTGTGACCCGTCTGTACTTACCTTTGAAAGTCCTCCCAGATCCAGGTAGAGGCAGCTCACAAAGACATTCCATCCGACCCACAGCAGTGTCCACAGCAGGTACTGCACAGATGGAGACACGGCACCAGAGAAGGAGACAAGAATCACAGTGTCACAGAGGTCAAAGGTCAGACGCAGCTTCTCAGGTAGAGAGACCTTAACGTAGAACCAAACCACGGGGTTTACGAACACTGAAATAACGTCTTTTTTCTCATGTCTGTGTACTGTGTACTACGTCAGTACTCTGAAAGATATTACTGTGTACTTTGTCAGTACTCTGAAAAATATACAACATGAGAATATAATATCAGAGTCAAAGTCACATTTCTTGCTGTATTTTGTCAAAAATACTTTTAAATAGGGATGTCCGATGTAATCTTTTTTCCGATATCCGATATGCCGATATTGTCCAAACACCTCATTTCCAATTCCGATATCAACCGATACCGATATATTCAGCCTTTTGCCTCAAAAACTGAGGTAAAAATCTCAGGACCTTACGTCGAATTCCAACAAATTTGGTTAAACCCAGGCATTGTGTTATCGGATTTTCATTATCGGAGGAAAAAACCGATAACGATCTTACCGATATTACATAACTATGCTAACATCGGTTGGCCAATAACATTGGTAAACCAATGTTATCGGACATCCCTACTTTTAAATACATTTCTACTGTAGTTCCAAATTGAGCGCCTCACTTCACCCCTCCACCGGGGGGTGTCCCTGAGTCAGCAGTGTTTTCTCACCAGGATCACGTAGCGGGTTCTGTACTGAATGATTCCAAACAGGCCCAGGATGACAGCGATGATGTGGAAGAAGTTGATCATGATGGGGGCCCACTGGTAGCCCAGGAAGTCGAACCCCTGCCTCTCCAGGGCAGTTATCTGCAGGGGCAGAGGGGCAGAAACAGGGTGGGGAAATCAGCTTTATTTTTTTTATCTTTCTGTTCTGATTTGTGGGAAACTGAAGACCATCGTTCTCTGCTCTGAGCTGAGGGGTAAACGGGGGGGGGGTCAGGGGGTCAGGGTGGGAATAAAGGGAGGAGCAGAACAAAGTGGGAGCGACCCTTTATTGTGGCGGCTGCTCCGGTGGGCGGTGACTGTTTTTCCCATTAACCTCAGATTGAGCCTCGTGTTTACAAAACGATATATTTTTATAAATGTACCAGTAAGCTAACAGTTAGCTTCAGTTTCACTGATAAACCTTTAGATGTTGTTGTTGTTGTTGTTTTCACACCGACAACAGCCAATGAGGGACACTCACTCATCACAACAACATGTCACTGTAGCATCTGCTCCGAATGGACTGAAATCACCGGAATATAAATGATATAAATGTCATTTTCCAAGATATTGTTTCGTAAACATCCAGACACCGAACGATAACAGCACCCGATCTGACATTTCGAGATAAACCCGTTCTTAATGTGTGTTTATTTCCATTATTTTCTGCAGTTACCGGTGTTAAACTGGTGATTTTTTCCCCAGCAGTTGATGCTGGACTCTAACACAGTCCGTCGTGTGTTGTGTGAGGACATTTGTTTACGTCGCATCATCATGTGAGTCAAAAGAAGAAGAAGAGAGAAAAAAACAACAATCGCTCACCAGCTGCAGGCAGCAGAGGAGGACCAGCGTGCACCGAGCCGAGCAGCAGCCCATCTTCACCGGGTCTCAGACAAAGGCGGTGGGAAGAAGAACTATGACGATCTGGGATGGTGCTCAAACACAGGGACCGGACCTGCGGGGACGGACATCCATCGTCAGACGCGCGAGGAAATGAAGAGTGAAATCACCTCGACACCCAACACGCAGTCTGTCCCTGCTGAGAACGCACCGTGACGGGGGGGAGGGGAGGAGTATCAGGGGTGACGAGTACCACACGGCGGTGGAAGTAAAACCCTGAAGGACAAAGTCAGGATGTTGGAAGGACGAGGCGGTGGAACAGAGGAGGATGTGGACTCAGGTTTGAATAAAAAAATGGTGACAAAAAAAGAGAAGAAAAAAAAAACCCGAGTATAAACGGAACTGAAATCCAGTTTCATTTTCATCCAACTTTTTTTATCAATTTCATTTATTTATTATTATCCTGTCATTTGTTTCTTATTTTACACATTGAAAATAAAATAAAATATTCGGATGCTTGTTTTTTTGTGTTTCTCAAACTATGGTACACATACTAGTGGTGGTACTTTGGCTCCCTCTAGCGGTACAGGATGAAATCAAATCTCATTTTAGTTAGACTATGAGTTGTTGTCACTCACTCTGTGTGGTTTGAGAATTGAATTAAAGTGTATGTTGTAGTACTACTACATACTCAAAAGACAAAATCATTTAATACTTGAAGAAAAGCTTCACTAATTTACCACTAAAAAGACAGAACCACAAGGTGGCAGTAACGCAGCTAAAAGTGCACAGAGCTGGCTTTAACAGCCAAAGAAGAAACATTAGCAAGATTATCAGAACTGACCTAAAAGTGCACAGAGCTGGCTTTAACACCCAAAGAAGAAACATTAGCAAGGACTCTGGACTGAACCTGGAAGGAAAGTAAAAAATATATATATATTTAATAAAATTTTTTGTGTCAATTTATCACATTCACACGCAACATCACCTTGAAATTTACATAAATGTTTTAAAAATGGGTATTATTAAAACACGTTGTATGTGTATATTTTTTTGTATATTTCTGGAATACTATATTTGTTATAAATCTATCTTTACATTTCTTTGTTGTCGTTGGTATTTATTCCTAGACGTTTTTTTTTCTTTTTCTGTGACTTTCAACCCAGAGAATAAAGAACAAGAGTGTTTGTCACACACAACATGTCGTCTGCTTCTCCACCCCGGCACGGATTGACCCTCATACAGCAACACCGTCGTCTGCAACCTGATAGGTAGATGCGCTTCCGCCATTTTCCAAAACGGCCAGTAGGTGGCGGTAGTGGACGAGAAACAGGATCCAGAGGTTTGAAAGAAACAGATGTGGAAAAAAACTGAGTGAATTAAGAGTTGTTTTTTTTTTCTTTAACAAAAAACAGTTTACAATAATTTAAACGTTATTGAATGAATTTAAAATATATAGTGACTTGATTCTGATTCTGTAACAAAAATAAAATATTTTAAATCAAACATTTTAACTGGATAAAATTTCATTTGAATCATTTGAATCAAAATGTACCTGTAATTAGATTTCTGTTTTGTTTTTGTTTTTGTTTTAAAAACAACATTAAATTCTGTATATACATATTTTAGAATTCCTTCACAAATATTAAAGGTGTTGAGACTAAACAAAGACAAAATAATATATATATATTATTTTCCCTCCACTGAAGACAAAGAACTTGATGATTCTGTAAGTTGGTAAAATAACGTTAAATGTATAAATGATGGTATTTTTAGATTATTGTTATTATTATAAACATCTTTGTTAAAACAGAATAACTGTAATTTTCAGATATTATTTTTCACACACACACACCTTCAGCAGGTA